TTCGTCTACGCTCTCCTCCCATGGGTGCAGGAAGAAGATTTCCACAACAAAGCACACAAGGCCGATGCAGCCAAAGAATATGAAAGCCACGGCTTGTCCCTTGTCCTGATTCCCGGAGGGGCCACCCGAAATGTTCTCGGTCGCGATGGGGTAGCACAAGTTAATGATGATGTTGAAGATGAACTGCGCCACCATCGTGAAGGAGGCGCCCTTTGGGCGGAACGATGGCGGGAACATGTCCTGCGAGAGCACGTAGAAGCACGGGCCGACACCAAATTCAAAAAAGGCAATAAATAGGAGGATACCGGTGATGGCCACACCATCCTTGGCGTTTTTGGCTGCAACACCCGGATACACGGGAATACCGCACAGAAAGAGACAGCACACAGAGGTCAGTAAGGAACATGCCAGGAACAACTGACGCATCGTGAGCACGGAGGCGAGCGGGATGGAGATAAGAGTCGTCACGAAGTTCCACAGCATAACAATGAAGTTACCCACCAACGCCGCAAGGCTGAAACTGGACATAATCTTTGGCGCGTAGTTCATGACGGCATTGATACCAGTCAGTTGCAGCGTGCCAGCCACCAAAATGCCCATGAGGATCCGGAAGAACATCTGGCAAATGGTGTACTGCTTCTCATCGAGCTTCTCGTTGTCCTCCTCCTGCTGCGCACCATACGGGCGGGGCGCGTCCTCAGTGTCACGAAGACCAAACCCCCCAAGAAAGAGTCCCAGGAGAACCATGAACAGAGACAGGAGCGTCGAAAATGCGCAGAGACCTTGCATACGCCCAGCGACATGCTGGTTGCTGCTAGCGTCAAACTTGATGCTCTGGCCTAACGCCATACCAATAAGGGCAGCCCAGAAGATGCCGAACGTGATGAAAACCTGGAACACGACACCTAACATCTTGTTGTACTTGGGGCACGCTCTTTCTGACACGTACATGGGACAGGCAACGGACACTAGGCCCATGACAAAACCTATCACCAGGCGGCCAACACATAGTACCCAGAACTGATCCGCGGCCGCTGCGATGTGGTACAGTATGGAACACACAAGACCAATGCAGCCAATAACGAAGAAAGAAAGCTTGGGACCCAGCCGCTTCGCGATCGGCCCTGCAAAAAAGGAGCCAATCAGGCAGCCCACAATCATGGAGGTGGCGAAGATGCCGCTGTACGCAGATCCGTAGCCAAAGTAATTGTTGCACTCCTCGTCACTGTAGTTCCAATGGCAATCATCGTCCTTATCGCATGTGTCACGATCCATGTGCACCTTGCTGCACATGGTATGGTCTTTCCACCCGCAATACGCCCCACCCGTAGCAGGGGTCACCCATTCGCATTTTGTGTTGGAAAGCGTCTCGCAGGGAACTTTGCTCTTGTATAGGGTGCATTGGGTACTCTTGCTGTAGAGATCCGAGTATACGCTCACGAAGCCAATCGAGTAACCGAGGAGAGCACCTCCGAGTATGTTGGGCAGTGCAATTACGAGGTTCTTCATGCAGAAGAAGCTGCTCGGCTCGTCCATGGGGGCAGGGTGACTGCTGTGATGCGGGTTGCTTTCCTGCGCGGGCCGGGCGTTGTCATGGTGACCACCCACCTGCAGGTCCGCGTCCGGTTGGGAGCGGTGCTCTTCCTGCGACATTCTGTATTTTAGTCGTAGTAGTAGTAGTAAGTTGTTGTGTTATACCTAAACCGATTGTGGTGCACTGCTAAAGCTCCTTAGCGGGTGTGTTGTGTCGCTGGATTTAGATATATCTTTTAAAAGCTTGTGACAGAAATAAGAAAGAAACTGCGAAAAGGAAAAAGGCATATGCACAGTAGTTGAGCATGCTTCTCTCCGCGCCATACCCCGCTACTATCGGGCGCACGCGCCAGGGATCAACCCCCTCACCCCTCGAGTCGACAACCGCGGTAGCGTAAACAAGCAAGCAGGATGCGGAAGAGCAGAGGGTGGAAATGGCACACTTGCGCGTCATCGTAAATCGCGATCCTCGGCGTTCCTGCACCAAGACACACGCCGACAAAAGCGCACGCAAATACTTTGCATATTCTTAACCGAAATAAAAAGCTCGCCTCAAGGGCAGCTCATCAACCTCAAACAGAAAACGATCTGCACAAGCACCAAAAGGAAAAATAAATAGACTACAGTCTCCACCCCGTGGGTGGCCACAGGCACACAGCCGCACACGCGTACACGAACAAATGCGACCGAAAGGGAGACAAGCATGAGAATAGACTTTAATATACTTTTTTCTTACTTCTAATCGATATTCTCTCCAGTACACACAGAAACGAAATATTTTTATTGATCAAAGTTTCCTAGTACCCCATGTGTCTGTACTTAAGCTTCAAGCTTCTTAAGATCTACTATAAATGAGAACTATTTTATTGCGGTGAATCAAAAAAGGCATAAGATTCCTTGAAATTTTCTCTTGTCCTTATTGATGGTCTACTTATCCGTGTTTTGTGTTTTCTTTGACATGCTGACTTCTGTACCCTATTTTGGTAGTATTAACACCAAAAATAAGATTAGGATTAGATGGTCATAAGCATTCCTTTCGTGTTTCATATTTGTGTAACTAATCTTTGCGTATAGCAATACCATTTCTTGCTCTGTAGTCCACGGTGAGATATATGCAATTTGTAATTTTTTATGTCATTTTATTTAGTTTGTTTGATAACTCTTGAATAGCAGCTTTATTTATATGACAGCATCCCCCTATCATACGAGCTCCGTGACGTATCCAGGTTTCACACTTGCCTGACAGTGTATCTTCAAGTTCGTTAGATGCATCATGTTTGATCCACGTTTTAGTGGCTATGTCGTAGAAACCAGGAGTGTTGGGGTAGGCTACCAGAGGTTTTGAAGTTATAGATGACATTCTCTTCAGAGCAGACGTGACGCTATGGAAAGGAACACAGTTTATACCAATGGCCACAACCACATTGGACGCCTCGAGTACCGGCAGAATATTCTCAAATGTAGTTCCATCAGCTATTTGAGTCCCATGATGATTGGAGTTCAGAGTAAAGCTTACCCAAGCGGGAATCAAAGGGAATTCATTCTCCAATAAATCCACAATAGTGAGTACTTCCTTCGCGCATGGTTGGGTCTCCACCGCTAAAACATCAACACCTGACTTTACTAATGTCTCAATACGCGGGCGATGAAAATCCCTAAAGGTTTCCGCAGAGATGCTCTGGGCATAACTGCCATTGTACTCCGTTCCATCAGACAAATATGCACCATACGGTCCTACCGAGCCAGCTACAAATATAGGTGCTTCTTCTTCATGAGTGATCAAAAAACGGCGCCTTGCCTCGTGCGCCACCTCAACAGACTTCGCAATCACATTGATAGCCTCCTCTTGAGACATACCACAATACTTTGTTAGTCCATATGTTGTGGCTTGATAGCTGCTTGTGATGATGCAACGGGCACCAGCTTTCAAATACGATTCGTGAATGCTGATAATGAGTTCTGGTGATCTTACAAGAACATTGCACGACCAGAGGGGGTGGTCAGTTTCATCGGTCAAGGCCTCCAGTTCAGTTCCTAGACCACCATCAAGAATAAGAACTTTGAAGGGATCTGAAAGAAAATTCCGAATTGTGGACGTCTCAGGCATAGCGCATTTTATTTGGACTCCTATGGATATAACACTCATATGGCTAATAGAAATAGTTGATCAATTGAAAACGATAAAGCAGGTGCGCAGCATTACGACCTATTTTACCTTTGGATTCCGAATTTACTGCCAGTAAACAGGCGATTTATATTTCAATTACCAAGCAACTTATTCCCATTTTTTGTTCATTTTGTCTTATCACAGAAAGAGCATGAGGTAGTTCTTTTGAACCCATAATATAGTAGGAAAAAAAAATGATGCGCACACCGATATGAATAGAGCCATGAAAGCGATTACCTTACGCTGCTTGTTTGTTACCAAAATGGGCACCAACCCTGGAAATGCTGACACAAGTTCTCATTCGATTTTGCTTCTTCAATTAATCGGGCCACCTGAGATTTAACAGAAAGCCCACCATCATGCATTGAGACATCACATCGTTTGGGGAAGGGCTCTAAAAAGTCGCGGCCTTCTAATTTCTGTTGGATGCGGTGCACCACCTTTTGAGCCTTTGATGTCTGCTGATGCCGTGAGTCACCACTGTCGTTTACCGAGGAATGCTTGCTGATAGTAGTTCCAGGTGTCAATGATCCTACCCATGCCGACCTTGAAGCCATGCTTACCTGGCGGACAGGACGTCGGAGCAAGCTACTCCCACATCCTTTATAGTCGACTGAGTATCGCCTGAAGGATTCCCCTAAAGCCGAGTAAGCAGTAATTTGGGAATGACCTTCTTGAGCGCTGACTTTGGAAGGGTGCACGTCACTCTCGTTGGATTCGTCACGCCACCACGAAACTAATGGGTCATGTACAAAAGCCTCCAGCAGTGCCAATATACTGCTCCCCTCTTCCCTTAGCATACTCATCACAGCAATACATCCATGTCGGAAAAGCCCATCAATCCCACCCATTTCCATCGCTTTTATCAACATTCGGGTAAGGCGAAAAGGCACTTTTTCAGGAAACGTACTGCGAGTTTGCGCGACTTCAAAACAATCACCAAAATCAATATGTACCACACGCCCACTAAAAGCGTGAATCATGAGGTTCGACGGGTGGCGGTCGCCTAACCCCAGAATATGTCCCACCATGGACATGGTGGCAAGCGAACAAACATATGTAGTACGTCTGTCAAGCCAAGACTCAGCACTGGGGGCCCGCATCCAAAGCGAGTTCATCAGATCATTTCCCTCTGTATTTTCTAAAGCAAATTCAAAAGGCTCGACATGTTGAATGCACGTCAAGCGGTCAAGATCCACACCGTAGCTCAGCATCAGATTGATCTCGCGAGAGAGATGCCTAGAGTGGATACGGTGCGTTTTTATGAGTTGGTGCAGAGTGTCACAGTTGTCAACCCAACCAACGAGGCCAGCATTATCGCTGAGTGGTGTAACCGAATACACTTGAATCATGCAATTTTGCTGTTGAATGGTGGAATGTTTTTCGAACAGTGTGTTAACAAAATCGAGTAGTTGCATAATACGCTCGTCCAGACGAAGATCTTCGTGTCCCTTCAAGAGGAACTTATAAATAGCACCATCGGTGCCGTTTACATACAGACGCCGCGGGTGCTGTTTGGAGTTGATTACTTTGAGAATGCTCTGGAATGAAGCAATACGTGGGTAGTGACCATTTTCATTATATTGACCAGGTACGACAAGAGACAAATTCTTACCGTGCTGGAGCAAATTTGGGCTTACCAGTTGTAAGGCCAAGGAAGTCATATTACTGATCTGATCGTCCATCCTCTTCACAGCAACCTTGAAGCGACTCCAAGCCTCTTCCATAAAAATGTAGTTGCCTAACGATACGGCCTTCTCTACAGCCTCATATGCTCCATACAGAAATTCTCCGAATTCCGAGACAAAATGAGACTCAGCCAAGGTCTGAGGAGATTTGAGTTGATCCAGCAGAGGCTTGAGAGCCATCAACACGTTGTGGGCATTCTTATCGCGCCCCCACTGATGCCACGCCCGCTCCAGTTCATCGAACCATAGCTCTATCCAACCCACGGCACAGCGCACGAGTTCTTGACATACAAGTGCAGCGTCATGAACAATGGCTGCTCCATTATGATGCAGCTCCACGATTCGAGAGAGTATTCTTTGGGCAGCTTTTCTGCGCTCGAGCTGTTCAGGCCCTGAGCCCTGACCGCTTCTGTTTGTGAAATTTAGGCTGTACAGAAGGGCCTGTGGGTGGGATTTTGCGATAATGACCAACAACCGATAAACCGAGTCTGACACTACCACATCACGTGAATGCAATCGAGCAATGATTTGGGGGATGACCTTGAGCCACACTCGCGGAGGAATTTCGAGGATTCCTGACTGGAGAGTGTTGTTGCTTCGAACTTGTGGTAGCGACGCGTGCATGAACCACAATGATAAAAACCCTAGAACATCTTCTAGTTCCTGTGAGAGACAAATACTCCGGATGTATCCGTCGATGGCGGAGATAATGTTTTCAGTGAATTCATCTTGCTTGATGTCTGAGCCGTGATGCTTTTTCGTCACCAGGCTGTGATGGAAACGCGCCCATGAGTGCCAAATAGCACCGTTCTGTCCATCCAAGCTTGTAGCTCGCATCAAATGATTGGCAACCTTGTCAGAAACATGGGAGTAATTACCGTCAACAAGTTGGTTCTTCCCCTTCACCAAGAGCCAATCAGCAAGCTTGGAGTAGCACAACGCCAAGCTCTTTTCCCCTCCGTCGAGGCATAATGTTCCATCGAAGCTTTCAATTTTTTCCAAATACATACTCAACAGCTCTATCGCCTGATCACGCTGTTGGGTATCGTAAAGATGTTGAAACGCTGCTAGGGTGATCGCTGGGCTTGGGGGTGTCGGCTGGTTCAGCGCACTCTTGATTGTCTGGGAACCAAGTAATTCATATATAATTTCACTTGAAGTTTGCTTGCGTCCATACAAGCGCGAAAGAGAGGCAAAACGGAGCCACATATCTAGTTCCTGTCGGGGCTGGATCACAAGGGTATGATTCGCTATGGTGCCAGCCCATCCTGAATACGCCATAACGCTCAGGCGCTTTTCCCAAAGCTTTTGCCAATGATTCAGTCCCTTGGAGTTGCGAGCAACAAAGGCAAATTCTTCGAGTTCGCTGAGCTGCTGAATACCAACAAAAAGTTCATAAGCACGGTCATAACTCTCCGCAACTAGAGCTGAAAGCGTAGAATCAAGACGCTTGCGGCACAACTCAATGAGCCGCTCGGCTTCACGAAACTGCTTACGGTTAGTCGCCAAAACCGCACGATAGAATACCGCTGTTGTGCCCACATAGCCTTCATCGGTTATGTACTCAGTAATTCGAGCCATATCATCCCAGCGCCGCAGCAACCAAGCTGCGCGGGCCCCGTACGGTGCAAGTTCGGCGGCATCCTTCCGACTGACACGCGGAAGGAAACATTTCCATGACTCCATCAATCTACCCGAATCACCCAAATTATCTAACGACCGCATGAGACCTGACATACTCGATAGTGTGTTTGGCTCTTTAATCAGCCCTTCTTCATACGCACGAAGACTTTGCGTCCACCACTGCAGTTTCTCAAAAAGCTGCGCGTCCATGATACGTGGCAGCTCAGCCTCCCCACAGCCAGTCAAGAAAGAAAAATTGGTTTGGATATATTTCAGCATCCCTTCAGCGCTCTCACGCTGCCCAAGGAGGTTGCAAAGATAGATACTTTTTTCACACAACTGGATCAGACTGCTCCACTCTTCAGGCGGAAGGGGCTTGGGTAACCCTCGCATGACACTCAGTTCGTATTCATAAGTAGTTTTGTAGAATTCGATCTCGACGTAGTGAAGAGCTTTGGCAAACAAATTACACCGTTCACTGCTGTCCATGAGTGTCTTGAGATCGAATAAAGGGCCCTGATAAGTCCCTTGCGAGCCCTGCTTAGGGTTAAAACGCATTTCAATTCGTTCCATATATTCTGAAAGATTTAATAGCCCCTGGAGCACCTCCGACGGAACTCGTTCACTCCGCAGCACGTTCCCGAGCATCTTGATCACTGTTTCACGAGTGTCGTTGTCCATTTCACCAAAGCACACGGCGAAAGCAGAGTGCAGCATATGACGCGCAAAAGGTTCATGTATCTGAGCCAAAGGACAAGCAAACCCGTGTGAGAGGGCTGGACTAGAGCGAAGTAGCTCTACAGCTATCTGCTTTAACCACAGGTTCCAATCCTCCCTAGTTTCTCGGTCACGAGCGCTAAGCACAGTGAGCAGAGAGGAAAAAACATCTCCAGACTTGCGTCGTGGTGGACGACAATTAGTTCTATGACGCTCAGATGTCTCTTCAACTGTGCGCTGGACGTCCGAGGCTAGCACACGCCCTCCGCCACGAACCACCGCGGAAATAAAGGACTTGACTTCCTCCCCATCACTACCATACATCTCCAACACAATAAATACCATGGGGATGTACTTGGCAAAATCACTGCCTAAGTTGCGTGCCACATCACGCAATGCATCGAGAGTTACACCAACTAAGCAGTCTAAGGTGGGATCGTGTAGATGTGAAGTTTCACTACTCCTAATTCCGTTGTGAAAGTGCGCTGAGCTGGTGTTGGTCTGCTTCATGGCCACTACTTCCAAATCTTTCAACACACGACACAGACAGTGGATAGTGCGAGTGGCATGTAAGGCTAAGTGCGGTAACCTTTTAGCAAATTGACGGAGCGCGTCCACCGCTGCAACACGGCAGGAAGCAGGATAACTTGAATTACTCGCTACATCACATACACACGGCAACACATTGTGCAAGTGGCTATCCAAAAGGGTGCTCATCTCGATTAGAAAAGCAAAAATGGGCTCACCGGCATTCACTGGATCCGCCTGTAGAGCAATCAGGAGTGGAGGCAACAAATTGGATAAGTGTGGGCGAAAATCCTTTTTGAGAGACCAACGTAGCTCACTTGCCAGACAAAGAACCTCCATCAGCACTGGTGTCTCAGCAGACGGCAAAAAACTAACGACTGTAGAAAGGAGCATATCGGAATAAGGACGAATGTGTTCGCCCATCAGGTACGCAATGCGAGATAAAACATTTAAGAGTCGGTCGCGCACTTTTGGTTGATTGCACGCGTGGTACAAGATAGTGGTGATGATGTCACGGTGAAATGGAACTAGACTGTCCCCAATGGACTCCTTAACAGATAGAACGTTGGCAATAACTTGCACTCCACACATGCACTGATCGTCCGAAAGGGAGGGTAGTTGAAGTACGTTGAGGACATTTTTGACGACGCTTTGTGCGATGGCATCTTCTTCACGGTTGCCATTCAACGGGAGCAGGGCTTCTGTAGGACTTGATCCACCCATGCCGTTATCCCGTAGATAACGCGTTATAGTTTTCACCCGCACAGGGCCCACCGCACCGACAACTCCCATGAGCTTCAGTACGTCTAGGCGCACCGGCCACGTTTCCTTGAAGCCACCATGCAATGCAGAGAGGAGAACCGGAAGCAGCTCCGGATGAGACTCGTACACGTTGACTTCCTTTGTTGTACGTATTATATCGACCAAGGCACGAATTGCCTCCTGTTTCTTGTGAATGTTGGAGGAGTCTAAAATGTGCTCCACCACAACAGGACGAATAGCGGCCACGACGTCCACATCCGCGCCCTCCGCATAACGCGCCAGCTTTCCCACACAAGAAAGAAGAACCGTCTGAACAGGTACCGGTTGGTCGCGGTCTCGCAGTCGCTTCACACAATCATGCAACAGCGTTGACAAGTACGGGTGGATCATATCGGAAGCTGACTCTACAACTACACTCAGAATCGCTGTGGCCTGTACCTGCTTCTTGACAACGTGAAAGAGTTGAATATCGGTGACGCATTGTACCACCACACGGCGCAGCATCGGGTATACACACGCTGGATTGCGCCACGATATACGACCAAGCAGGCGTACCGCCGCAATGCGATTCTGATATTTATCTTGCAGCGCAGGAAACAAGGAACTAGCAATGTCTTTCAGGGCAAGGGTACTATCATATTCTTCTGTGAAGCGGTTAAGCGTGTATAGACGAATGTCGCTCTCAGGATCAGCCACTGCAGCATTAACAAGCTTCTTGATGACGGTATTAATTAAGCGTATGTGTTCGCAACCTCGGTGGACAATATAGTTTTCCTCTGTGCGTAGGCATGGAGAATGACTGCAACCAGATAGAACAAGTCTAAAACACAGATCAATAGCAGCACGGCGCACCTCATCATGAGGGCTCGATACGTAACGCAATACGGAATCTGACAAGAACTGCAGAGTCGAATAACCTGTGAAATCCAAGCTGGCAAGCACCTTTAGATTTTCTAAAATGCATTGCAGAGTGTCGTCTGCTGAGATGGATCCCTTATTACGGCATGCAGTCGACTGACGAAGGTATGCGATTTGAAGCTGCAACTTGGTAGCCTCTAGCATTTTAGAGAGACAAGTTGAACGCAACTCGGGGAAAGCAGTACAGATCTTAGCAATATCTTGCGTGAACCTTATCGTAATTATGCCTGCAAAAAGAGGAGCAAGGATGCACCGTAAAAAGGGCCGCACAGCATTTGGGGCTGCTTCAGACATAATTGCAAAGCAGGAAACTGCCTCCTCGCAGCGATCACGATTAGGTCGTTTTACCAAGGACATCTCAATATACGCCACTAAACGATCGAGGAACGATAGCACTATTGTTGGCATCACTACAATGAGCTTGCTAATTGTACAGAAAAGCATCGGGCGCTCATCAGTCACTGTTGGATCAGTCGAAGTAAAACACACATCCGCTACCTCCAGAACTTTTGAAAGAGTTAATTCCTTAAACAATTCGATGTTGTACTTGGCCAAACGAGGCAAAGTATCAAACATAGCCTTGCGGATGTCTTGCGAAAATGTTATGGGCACGATGTGTTGATTGATGAAGTGCCACACCTGTTGAACAACCGAAGCACTGTGTTGCGTTAAATTAACAACTCGATCCTCTCCTTCGAAAGCTACGATGGAGGCCAAAATAGTGTTGAAGGAGAGAAAGACACCGTGTAAAATATCGCCTGTGTCATAAATGATCCCATTTAAAACATCATTTAGCAGGACGTCCTGCCAACGGTGATAGAACCCTGGATCGGTGGAACGGTAGGTCACATGAAGTGCCTTGTAAAGCATGTCTGAAGCATACAAACGAACAATTTTCCTATAATCAATAAGAACACATCGCATACCATTTAGAATGATATGTAAATACGGAACAGTGGCTGATGGCACAGAGCACAGAAGCTGGTCGATCAATAGGCATCCCGCCAGTTTTGTATACTTGGGAAAATCAGTAAATTGGCCCTCGTGACTTAAATTAAGTCGGGATGTATCAAAAATCTCTTGATGAAGTGGATTCTTGTTGAGGAAATCAGAATCCCAGCCGGGAAGGAACAGCAAAGTCGTAGCAAAGTTGAGGCAGTTTGCGATTATACCTTCAGTAACACTAGAACCATTAGTTAGCAACTGACCCCATACGCGTGCCGCCTCCGTGGCAGCTACAACGTCGTCCGTATCCAGCACTAACCGAACAAGTAATTCAGAAAAAAACTTCGTCTTCTCACTTAACTCCATATACTCAACGTTAAGAAGAGCATTAAGAACGCGAACGCCAGCACGCTCCGTGTCTGCTTTTTCGAACAGCTCACGGATTTGCTGATTGATCCAATTGAATAAGACCTTTGCGCTAGGGCCTGAAGATGATTTTATAGCATTCCGGTGAAACAAGGCATCCTTTTCCTCCTCGACAACGTAATCCAGCTTGAAAATGACAGAATCTAGAGTTTGAGAAGTGCAACTTTTCAGCTCCACAAAAATTGGACGCAGCTGGGCAATTAATGGATGCGTGGAGTCCTCCTTCATATCGCCGTCACTTTTTTCCCTCCTCCGTACCCTTATACGACTACTATGGCTGCTTTCGATTCAGGTGCACTTGGAGTGATCCAAAATAAATCGTAGAACCAACGCCGTAGTATCAATGCCGAGCAAAAAAGTATATTCTGCCACGTGCAATTGATTACTACAGAAGTCGCCGAAGGAGCGACAAGAATAAGTCAACAATCAACAGACGACCTAAAATTTGCACTTTACTAAGTTTAGAAGAGAATGATGGAAGCAAAAATACACAATAAAATGCAAGAAAAAAAATAGAATGGAATGGAATGGAATGGAATAAATAAATACCGCCAAATGTTTCAGCTTCAAATTTACCTTTTTTATTTTAATAATATTCTGTCAAATTCAACAAAATGTGCATACGGTGGTTTTTGTGGTAACGTTAAATATCAAATTTGCAGAGACTAACCCCGTAAAAAAAAAACATCCATCTCCGAAAGGGCTGAATGCATAAATATGACGTACCCAAAATTCTTAAAATTATCATTGTAACAGCGCGCGTTACTTCTGGGCTGCTAGGGACCCACCCCCACCCCCCATTCTTTTTTGATGTGTACGCTCACCTTTTTCTTAAAAATGAAAGAGTCCCTCACATATGAAGCGAGGGCCTTCCATTTAACAATAACAAAGGAAGCATAAAATAGTCGATGTTTTCTGGCACGCATATTCTGTCCTCTTATTCTTTTTACCATTTGCGGCAAGCAAAAAGAAATTTACGCAGATTTAAAACTAACCAACACCAAAGTAGAGAAGGGTAATAAATACAAAGGTAAGAAATCTTAACAATGTCCTGAGCTGAAATACTTCAAGTCAGACACCCCTCCTTTTTTGAAGCCCTTCATGGAGAAGGAAGTGATCTGGTTCAGTGAGTACATCACACGTGCGGCATGTCTTCGCTGAATTCATTGGTTTTGTTTGTTTCTTCAGATGAATACATTTTGTCCTTCAGCCGCTCACCTTTTCTGTAAAATTTGTATGATCACATATGAACTAGATATTAGAATGAATTGTGTTATTTACGTATTTATTAGCTTTCCACGTTCTTCTCTCGGGTTTTCATGCCCTTTAAATAGCTTCCAATACATGCATATTCTTCACTGTGTCCTAACAATACATAAAAAGAAAAGAATAAATACTGTTTTAGCTTACTCAGTAAGAAATATTTTAATATCACTTATTTATTTATGTGCACCAATATTAGCATGCATTAGCTCGATTGATAATTTAATTATTTCTGTCCCCGCAGTGTCTAGTTCCTTTTAGACCTCATCGCCACTCAGGTCAACACCAGTAGTCAACATCTTTTCTAGCGTCTCAGATGATGATTTAGTACAGTTTCCCAGTTTTCTCTCCGTCTGAGGTAGGCATGGGCAAGCGGATCGAATGTCTTTCCACACAAGCCATACGCCAATCATACCTGAAATAGACCCGAAGATGTATTCTAGCGTGCGAATCGGAGTATAACCTGGGATCCACTTGAAGTACACGTACATATCACATAGACTACGCACAGCAATGGCGTTACACACGGACAAGTCCATCTCGAAACGGACGCGCTCCTTCGATGTTGTGGACTCGGCAATTTTCTTTCGAATACTTCGACGGTGGGCAATCTCCGAGATGAAGCAACAGCTCAGCGAAAGCGACTTGAAGAATCGATAGAAGAAAGATAGCCGTTGTCGACTCCAATGATGAAATATCACCTTTTGTAGGTAACTCAAATCGCCAAAGCCCTGCTCTGGAATGCGAAAAAGATGCGAAAGACACAAAAACAAATTGTAGACAGCCCCCATGCGACCCCGAAGACGGTAAGTTTGTAAAAACTGGCGCATTGTTATCCACATACGGCCAAAGTTGCAGAGCATGCGGCACTCAACCATAACGTCTGACATTTTGTCATACCTCTGTTTCCAAATGGCATCCTTGCTGTAAAGTCCTAGCAACCTGATAATACCAAGCACAGACTTAATAGACATATCTACGCCAACGCCTTTACTTTGGTACGCACTAGCCGCTTCAAAAAACGGCACCAATAGAACATTCTTACTGTCAGAAAACATAGTATTCTACCTCCTTAAACCTTCTTGCAACCCCTGAAGAAAATGTTCAGAATCATGAACGTAGCCCAAATGGAAAGGGTATACGTATGTGCATGGACATGTATATAATAAGTGTTCAGACTTGCTTTGCAACAAAAATGATTAAATGAGGATTGTCTTCTTAAGAATTAGCAATAGGACAACATATTTTAAAAAATAATGTAATAGGAATCAATTTTCAGAAATACTGAGATTCTAAGAAGCTGTAGACATGGATGAACTGGAAAAAACTATTTTGTACTTGATCTACCGATAAAATCATAAGAACTCATTGCCTAGCTTTTGGGCATGGTACGAAGGCCTCTCTTAGCAACACTTTAAGGATTACCCTGCATGTCAACCCGTTCAGGGGCATCTGAACCGTTAGGGAGAGGGAGAGGGAATCCCCCTCCGCTTTGGCGACGGAATCGGTAAAGATACATCAGCTGAATCTACCGTCCTCCCCTCCCCCTAAACATAAAATGCCGCTCGCAGTTGACGAATGATGCTATGATGGAACTGAATGCCGGTGCAGACCTGGCCACAGTTGCGTTTGAGGTCATCACATCAAAATTATGCTGATTAGATGACAATACATTAAAACATCAGAAACCAATGTGTGGCTCCTAGAAAATCTCGCACCTTTGACTATTGCACAAAAGAGTGAGAGACATATCCAGTGACTAGATGCTACAATGATTGCGCAATGAACGAAGCGTAAACTTTCCTACGCATATTTCATGAAAAGGCGCAGTCTCTAACGTACGACCCCCCTCTCCCTGTTACCAACCAACAACTTGTGATAGGGACTATGATCTACAGCGAAAGACATAAATTGTTCTTGAACACTAAAAAACGCAGAGAAATTATTCAAACTTGCGTGTCAATGTACCAGATGCAGAAATCATAATACAGGAAGCTGGAAAGGTGCGCATTGTCGTGCTTGTCAAGATGGTTGCCCACTCTAGATTGAATAGAGACCATCAAACTACAGTACCGGATCTTCAAGTATCCCTGAGCGGTGGCGCAGGTGTTGACCTGTTGTACAGACTCGTCTCCCATTACAGCAGGGGAACAGGAGACCAAGACTGTTTACAAGACATTCATTATTCTTATGCATATTGATATTTAGACGAAATCAAAGAATTAATATTCAAACACTTACTGTGGAGTTGCTTCCACAGTAAGGGAAAACGATTGCCATGAGAGGAGTCAAATAACGGGCTAAAGGTGAACTTGCAAACTCAAAACTTGAAATCATTTTTGTGTATTCAAGAAACCAATTCTTTATAATATATATATCAAGGCTATTTAAATAACATTAATGCATAAGTATGTTTACATTTTCCCTTTATTATTCGTGTAATGTCTTCAAAAACAAGGAAATAAATTTCGAACAGCTTTTGAAATCCCTGAGAAAGAAAAATCAATTAAGGGAATCTGCGCCAGCGGGAAAAAAAATAGTTTGTTATAAATGTGCTGAAATCTGTTATATGAACAACCCCACAGCGTCACATAAATAAAATAGTCTCTGTATAGTATGAAGATGAAAAATGTATAGCAAAAAGGTGAAGTTATGCCAAACAGGCAATAATAAGCAAACACACTAAAGGGATTATTAGGAATAACATTTGCTTCAGAAACACAAAAGTTCGCTTGTGCGACGGATACGCCATCCAAAAGTCCTCAAGTAGCGGAAAAAAAGCAAGAGAAAAAGGTTTGAGAAAACACCCTAAAAATAGTAAAATTTACATGAATTGGTTGAGAACAGGTTCAATCAAAGCAACTCCCCACCGATGTGAACCTATTCATTTGAATGTGAATTGGTATGCTCAATGAGATGGCCACCACTACCACCATCCATTCCTACGACTAGACGAGGTCCCTCTGTTTCCACAACCTGCCTCGCGTTGAAATCCGTATCAATATCGAGACAATTTTCTATGCTATAATATAGCTTTTCTTTCATTACCTCTAAAGAACTGTAGTCAGGAAGCTCAAGCGCAAAAAAGCACGTGGCCGCACGCGGCAGGTACGTATTTGGATCCCTCGGAGTAGGCAATGGGAGAACACGCAGTTTAACCGGCATACGATCACGGCCGGATACAAAGCGCAAAAAAAGACGGCGTTGCCTCGGTGTTGCCTCTTCGAGTGCAGCCCACAGTAGTAAAACGCGGCGGTCCTCGCTTGTCAAACCCTCATACACGGCTGACTTTCGCAGTGCATTTATTTCAAAGTCGGGCTGACCACACACCCGCATCTCCAACTCATCCGGCGAAAGCAATAGCAACACCAGTTCCGGTACCACTTGAAGCATGCCGTCTCGTATCTTGCTCAGCTGGAGATCAAACTCATGCAGTCGCGTCTTCAGGAGCGCCTCAGCGTACTCACCACAGCGTTCATAAGTTACCTTAACATTTGCACCATTTTTTATCAGCTCCTTAGTGGTGTTGTCTGATAGTTTCGTTACGAAATACTCCGTATCGAAGGCCTCATTGAAGGCCTCCTTGCTGTCTAATTGAGTCTGCGCATCTCGGAACTCCTGAATGCATTGCCAGCAAATGTAGTCTATCTCATCCAGATCGCTATCAACAATGGGGTAGCAACACATATACTTCCACACAAGTGATGGGAAGAAGAGACTCAGTGGCTCTTCGGAGCGTATAGCACCACCCATAAGGTTTCCCAAGAATACATACGCCGCGAGCTCGAGCTGTCCAGTTGCAGAGGCAGCTGGAACAAAGGCACCACGACATTTCCCCAAGTTATGGACATGATTTGCGGTAGGTACGAAGAGTGATAAGTTTGTGGACATTAGCTCTTCACAGATCTCATTGATATGCTCTCGAAAAGGCCCACCTACGTCCTCTGCGCCTTCACCCATAAACGTTGTGCTCCAAAAACGCTTGTTATTTTGAAAAAGCGAGGGAGGGCGATCCATCAGCAACATCAATGTTTGGCCAAAGACTGAGGATTCAAATGTTTGACGCTCAGCACGAGACTTCATGCGATTAATAGAAAGGCGTAAATGCTCTGTGTGAACATTTGTCTCCTTGAGCATATTGTCCACCATATGGATTCGCAATTGACTGAAAAGAATGTTCCGGGTGATCAGAAGCAACCCTGTCATTGGACTTGTGTTTTGCGTATTGATATTGAGAAAGGGTAAAGTTGTCTGAGACAACCGTGCAACTGCCTTGAGAAGCAAGAATTGGTTCCACAACTTCGCTATTTCGTGTCCGCCCGTGTCGCCTTCACTGCACACTGCATGGGAAGAAGACATAATATCCTTTTTGTAGAACGCCTCAAAGCTCTCTTGCGTGATTTGCATGTAGACCTTTCCGGGTTCTTGGCAGAAACGATCCACCGCTTCCACTACAGTGCGGTAGGGCTTCAAATACTCTGTGATATTCGCCTTAGTAGATGCGCCCTCTTTGGAGTCCATGGAGCGAGATAGTTGTTGTATAACTAGCATTCGACGAAGAGTTAATGCGGGACGCTCATTGCTGTAGAATGTGTCGATGCGCTCACACCAAGAATCAGACACACCTAGGGCGCTGAATCCATCCGGCTTACATTTGAAAGGTGACGATCCAAAGTTGAAACTCACGTGATTGCCGGCACGAAGAGAAATTGCCGGAACATACTCAACTTCAGGACCGACAGGGAGATTGTGGAAAGTGCAAGAGGTCAGTGGTGTTATTCCAATAGATCTCCCGTTTAGAAAAAAGGTCATCTCCCGGTCGGACAAATTCAGGGCGCACCCAATAACATCACCCACACTCCACCGCCGCGAGATCGCAAGCGGCTCAGCAAGCCCCTTATGCCAGCGCATGCGACGAAAAAGGTCGATGGACCATGACAAGGGAGTGTCGCCGACGCTGCCTTTGCCGATACTATCCTTAATAATCCAACCAATCTGCATGAGGCCTTGGGTATGCAAAGTCACCTCGTAGTACCAGCAGCCGAGAAGCACGCTGCAGTCAGCTGTGACGGTTTGAAAGTTTGTGCCCACATTTTTTGCCTCCAAGAGGTTAATTTCAATCCCTTCCGAGGAAGAATGAAGCGATACGTGTGCAGGGCCTTTCCGTTCGACGGAGTGCGCAAATGGGTCTGCCTCTTCGTAGTAGAAAGGCGGCATAGGATGATTCCCATCTGTGAGCAGGTGGGCCAAAAGGTCCTGGAAGGCCCGAAGCTGGTTGTAGGGAAGCAGTGCGCCAAGCATCAGATTTGCTGGATCGAGCGGTAAGCAGCCACACGGTACCTCGTACTCGAAGTGTGAAGCGCCAAAGTTAATAAACATTAATTCACCCTTCTCCAATTCGAAGTAGGGAAAAAAAACAGTACCATCTAGATCCTGCGCAAACTCGGCGGCATGTGGCTCTGCCCATGCCGCCGCCGCCGCTGCTCTTCCTTCTTCATCACCAAAACTAAAACTCACGTTCACATCTTTACCGTTGATCAAAAAACGGCACATTTTCTCCTCCATGTCCAGTACAACACCCACGTAATCCTTGTGTTGCCATGTTTCGCGAGCTGCAATCCTCTTTGTCGTTCTATCTGCATTCTGTAACAAACCAGTGAAGCCATTAAAGCTGAAGTGATTGGCAGCCGCACGCGTAATCTCCTCAGGATAAGTGGATGCGCTGGGCAGTACGCCGATAAAAGAGTTGCCCGTGCCACCAATACGAACCTCAAAATACCACTTGCCGCGTGTAAGAGAAACCTGTGCAATCATAGAGACACATCCTCCATCATTACGTGCAACGCACATGTCAGAAGTCCAGTCCAAGTGTAAATGATGCGCATCAGAGCTCTTTTGCAATGTAACTCGCTCTTTTCCATTTTCTCGGAATCGGTAGAGCATGCGCTGCTCTAACCGACACTGAGCAAAGAGCATTTGCTCCTGAACAGGAGTCAATGCAGTGTTGTCAGACGGGCAATTCAAAGAATCCCCCCAGCATCGCCACGCATCCATGAAT